GGCCCGACGGAATTCGACCTTGAACGATCGGGGCCGTGATCGATTCAAGGTTGAACGATCGACGCGTTGTCAAAAACCTTTCCGCGCGCCGACGCCGCACGAACCTACCATACTCTGGGGGGCTGCGGAGACCAGCCAGGACTACCTGAGGGGGGTCTGTCTGTGTGCAACCCGCATCGCTCGTCTTTACACCGCCTCGGACTATACGCGGAGGGCTGCGGAGACCAGCCAGGACTACCCGACGAGGGCCTGTCTGTGCGCAACCCGAATCGCTCGCCTTGAGCAATTAGGGGCTCCTGAAGACTTTCCTGAATATGCAGAAGTTGTCAAAAAGTTACGATAAGCTGGAAAGTTGAGGGGGCCCTCCAGCACTCTGCGACGTCCATGCCGAATCAAGTTTTCACGCTCCGGAAAAGTAATGTTTCCCCGTCCGGAGAGTAGCTCGCCACTAGTCTCCGCAAGTCAACAAAATTGAAAAGTAGCTTTTCCGCACGCGGGAAAGTTGCCGGAAAGTTGGAAACAATCGGAAAAGTTACTTTTCCCCGGTCTCCGCAAGTCACATGAAGGGGAAAAGTATTTCCCAACCCTCCTTGGTTGGGTATTCGTTTTGAATAGAGCAGTGTGGTCGCGTCCCTCCTCCCTCCCTTCCTCCCTCCCTGCCTCTTCCTGTCTTGCCTGCGGGGGGCTGCGATCTGTGAAACTGTCGCCATTTTCGAGGCCTGCTGGGGGGCCCAGCACAGTGAGGGCCACGCGCGGATTCAAATTAGACCTCGCCATCCCTGGGGGGCTGCGATCTGTGAAACTGTCGCCATTTTCGAGGCCTGCTGGGGGGCCCAGCACAGTGAGGGCCACGCGCGGATTCAAATTAGACCTCGCCATCCCTGGGGGGCTGCGATCTGTGAAACTGTCGCCATTTTCGAGGCCTGCTGGGGGGCCCAGCACTGAGGGCCACGGGCAGATTCAAATTAGACCTCGCCATCCCTGGGGGGCTGCGATCTGTGAAACTGTCGCCATTTTCGAGGCCTGCTGGGGGGCCCAGCACAGCGAGGGCCACGGGCAGATTCAAATTAGACCTCGACATCCCTGGGGGGCTGCGATCTGTGAAACTGTCGCCATTTTCGAGGCCTGCTGGGGGGCCCAGCACAGTGAGGGCCACAGGCAGATTCAAATTAGACCTCGCCATCCCTAGGGGGGCTGCGATCTGTGAAACTGTCGCCATTTTCGAGGCCTGCTGGGGGGGCCCAGCACAGTGAGGGCCACGGGCAGATTCAAATTAGACCTCGCCATCCCTGGGGGGCTGCGATCTGTGAAACTGTCGCCATTTTCGAGGCCTGCTGGGGGGCCCAGCACAGTGAGGGCCACGGGCAGATTCAAATTAGACCTCGCCATCCCTGGGGGGCTGCGATCTGTGAAACTGTCGCCATTTTCGAGGCCTGCTGGGGGGCCCAGCACAGTGAGGGCCACGGGCAGATTCAAATTAGACCTCGCCATCCCTGGGGGGGCTGCGATCTGTGAAACTGTCGCCACTTTCGAGGCCTGCTGGGGGGCCCAGCACAGTGAGGGCGACGCCGGATTCAAATTAGACCTCCCACGCTCTGTGAAACTGGCCAAAGGCCTGCTGGGGGGCCCAGCACAGTGAGCCACGGGCCTCGCCATCCCTGGGGGGGCTGCGATCTGTGAAACTGTCGCCATTTTCGAGGCCTGCTGGGGGGCCCAGCACAGTGATGCCACTGGCAGATTCAAAATGAGACCTCGCCATCCCTGGGGGGCTGCGATCTGTGAAACTGTCGCCATTTTCGAGGCCTGCTGGGGGGCCCAGCACAGTGAGGGCCACGCGCGGATTCAAATTAGACCTCGCCATCCCTGGGGGGCTGCGATCTGTGAAACTGTCGCCACTTTCGAGGCCTGCTGGGGGGCCCAGCACAGTGACGCCACGGGCAGATTCCTCTGAAACCTCGCCATCCCTGGGGGGCTGTGATCTGTGAAACTGTCGCCATTTTCGAGGCCTACTGGGGGGCCCAGCACAGTGAGGGCCACGCGCGGATTCAAGTTAGGCCTCGCCATCTCTGGGGGGGCTGCGATCTGTGAAACTGTCGCCACTTTCGAGGCCTGCTGGGGGGCCCTGCACAGTTACGCCACGGGCATATTCAAACGAGACCTCGCCATCCCTTGGGGGCTGCGATCTGTGAAACTGTCGCCACTTTCGAGGCCTGCTGAGGGGCCCGGCGCAGTGACGCCACGGGCAGATTCAAATGAGACCTCGCCATCCCCTGGAGGCTGCGATCTGTGAAACTGTCGCCACTTTCGAGGCCTGCTGGGGGGCCCGGCACAGTGACGCCACGCGCGGACCCAAATTAGACCTCGCCATCCCTGCGGGGCTGCGATCTGTGAAACTGTCGCCACTTTCGAGGCCTGCTGTGATCACCATTTTCGAAGTGGCTAGGAGTGCCCAGGAATTGTAACTCATCAGCTTTATCAAGCCCTTTTCCTGTAGCCAGTGTCCTGCGAGTCTCCCGAATTCCGTCTGCAGACATATGCAACCCTCGCTCCGTCATCGCCCCCTTATAAAGTATCCTAAACTATTTGCGCCCCGCTTTTGCGCAGGGGTTGGGTACGTCGCCAGGGTAATTTTTCCAGACGCTGGAAAGTTGTCGGAAAGCCGGGCAAAGTGGAATCCCCGAAAGTTTACGAAAGGATACAAAGGTTAGAAAAGTAATTTTCGGGGATGATCCGCTGGCACGCGACCCGGCCTGCGCCGGTTCTGGGGGGGTTAGGGGTGCGGGGGGAGGCGGCACGATTTACCCCCCCCCGCATCAGTTCAGTGCACGCACTGATGGGGGAGACTGACGGTGAGATCCATAGGGCTCGTATGACTCATAGGGCTTATAGGGCTCGAAGCGCTCACAGGGCTCATATGGCTCATAGGGCTCATAGGGCTCATAGCGCTCACAGGGCTCATAGGGCTCATAGGGCTCACAAGGCTCATAGGGCTCGTAGAGCTCAGAGGCCTCACAGAGGCTCAGAGGGTTCCCCAGAGGCCCACACAAGGGAGAGCAGATCCGCCGCACATAAAACTCTTTTACATCCAGCGGGCCCTTTTGGCTCCCAGGAGGGTCCGCGAGGGAGGGCAGACCCGCTGCACTTAGGAACACCCTAAGTGCAGCGGGCTGTTTTGGCCCCGGGCGGCCCTCATAGGGCTCTAAGGGGGTCTCACAGGGCTCATAGGGCTCGTAGGGCTCAGAGGCCTCACAGGGTTCAGACGGTTCCTGGGAGGCCCACACAAGGAAGAGCAGGTCCGCCGCATTTGAAACTCCCTCAAATGCAGCGGGCCCTTGTGGCTCTGGGGAGCGTCCGCGAGGGAGAGCAGACCCGCTGGTCTTAGGAACCCCTTGATTGCAGCGGGCTGTTTTGGCTCCCGGCGGACATCCTCGCAACTCTGACCTCGGATATGCTTTGCCCCATGGCGGCTTGGCCGCTTTCGCCTGGGTCACGAGATGCCCTGGGCGTAGGTGGTCGGGCCATTTTCGCCTGAGACATCCTCGCACCTCCGGTTTCCGAGATACCTTCAGCTGCGGTGGTCAGCCCACTTTCGCTTGAGACATCCTCGCAACTCTGATCTCGGAGATGCCTTGCCCGATGGTTGTCCAGCCGCTTTCGCCTCAGACATCCTAGGAACTCTGGTGTCCGAGGCCACTTTGGCCTGAGACATCCTCGCAACTCTGATCTCGAAAACGGCTTGTGCGCGTCTTGTGCGCGTTCACTCTTCGCTAGACCACTAGGATTCCTGAAGTGACCTCGCGAATCGTGCCGCTGTAGTGCCCCCGAAAGGTTCCCAAGATGGCGCGAGAGGGATTTTGAACAGAGGATGCCCTGACAGGATGCGCCCATTCACGCTCCAAAACGGGCTCGCGACTTTCCCACGACGTCGCCAGAGGATTCAGCATGGCTCTTACGTAGACACCCACTTGCAGGCCGCACGTCCACGAAATGTCCGGCGCCCGCCTCGTGCACCGACTTGTCGGCCACCTGGAAAGTTACTTTCGACTGCCACGGGAAGTTACAAAAGTGAGAAAAGTAACGTTCGGGCTCCAGAAAAGTTGGCCCGGCCCCAGGTGAAGTTGACAAACTTACTTTTCGGCGAGGCCGAAAGTTGATCAAAAGTCGGGGAAAAAGTAACTTCTCGGGGAGGGGGCCTGGAGCCCGAAAGTTGCCGAAAAGTAACTTTCAGGGAGGGGCGGAAAGTTGAAACAAGTTGTTTGTTGAAAGTTAAGGTTTTCTCTGGAAAAGTCGAAACAAAGTTATATTCGGGGGCCTGCATAGTTGGAAAATGTTGGAAAATAACTTTCGAAAGTTGCCCCCCCCGAGGAGCCAACTCGAAAAAGTAACTTTTCGGTGGGGGGGGCGCTCCATTTCCCAAAAGTTGCCGAAAAGTAACTTTCAGGGCAGGCCTGAAAGTTGGAACAAGCTAAAAAGGTTAAGGGTTTTGACTAAAAATTGAAAAAAGTTACTTTCCGGAGGCCTGGAAAGTTGGAAAAAGTTGAACAAGTAACTTTCGAAAGTTGCCCCCCTGGGGGCCCAACTTTCGGGAAGTCTTCAGGAGCCTCTATCTCGTCTTGAAACCGCCTCGGACTATACGCGGAGGGCTGCGGAGACCAGCCAGGACTACCCGACGAGGGCCAGTCTGTGCGCGACCCGCATCGCTCGTCTTGAGGCCGCCTCGAACTTACGTATACCCTGGGGGCTGCGGAGACCAGCCAGGGCTACCCGACGAGGGCCTGCCCCCCGCCCCCGGGCGACTCGGCATCACCCAAGCGTGCTCATGCTCTGTGTGCGTCGGCTACACATTGTGGAGGGGCAAGATCCTTTCATTTCTAATTCTTCGATCCTGGGCCTCTTCCTGGCCACTAGGGGGCCAGGAAGAAATAGAGACGAGCAGAATTAGAAATGAGCACGATTAGAAATGAACGACGTGTACGCATCGCGACGCGCGCGCTCGGAGA